AGTTTGTCTTGAGGTCACAAGACTTTCTCTCATTAATTGCTTCATCTGTAACAAATAATTCTGAATAGTCCATCAATATCGGGTAAAAATTTAACCCCTCTAAAGTATCTTGCCCCAAAATTTCCCGTCCGGGGAATTAAAAATCAACCTTTGAAAATTAAAAATCTTTACACCCATTATCAAAATAATTTTTGTAAGAAGTCTTCAAGCATATCTATTTCCTTTAAAATTTTAAAAAATTTTAAAAAATAAAGGGGGAAATGGTTTTGGAAGGCAATAAAAAAAAGGAAAAAAAACAGAAAATTTTTATTTGAAGACCAAAAAATTTTTCACTTAGTTTAAAAAATTACCAAAAAACACAATTTCACCAATTTTTCCACCCATTCGCCCCTTTTACCTACAAGAGCAATTTTACTACCCCTTAAAAAAATTAAAAATTTAATTTGGGTTTAAAAGTTTTTTGGGAAAAGTCCGTTTCAATTTAATTTTAACCTGTTTTCCAAAAAAAACAAAAAAAATTTTTCCCAAACTGATTTAAATTTTTTCCCAAACTAATTTATTGCAAATTTATTTTTTAATTTAAAACCCTTTATGTTCCAAAAGGCCCAAAAATTTAAATTTAAAATACCCCTTAAAAGGGGGTTTAACCACCAAACCCTATAACCCTACTTGAATTGAATTGTCCCAAGTTTTAATTATTAAGATTATTGGGTTGGCTCCCTTGCCATTCTCAGAATTTTTCATTCATATCACTGTATTCCACTTGTTTGTTTAAAAAATTTAATATTCTTCCCCCGGAAAATTTTGTCATGTTCAATGTTTCCCTTTTTTGTCTCGTTGGCCGTTTTAAATACCCCCGCCTTTTAATTTTTTTAAAGCCTGCAAAATTTTTTCCTTAGTTTTTTCTTTTCAACAATTTGCCTTTATAATAAAAAACCTCCTTTTTTCCACTTTTAAATTTAAGGAAAAACCCTAATTTTAGAAAGTGACTCTTTTTAAAAATCATCTCCTAACATTTTCCTTTCACTACGTTAAAAAATTCGCCCCCCGTTTTTTTTGAAATTTTTCATCATTATTTAAAGTTTAAACCCCCCAACCCCTTTTCCACTTTTTTTCCTAAAACCCCTTAGCAATTTTTTGTCATCTTTTCCCAATTTTAAATAGGGAAAGCAACCCTTTTAAAACTTTTTTAAATTAAATTTTACTTTTTTCAAAATTAAGTTTAAATTCAATTTTCCTTCTAACTTGGGAATTTTTTCTTTATTTTCAATCATTTCATATCCAAAAAGGGAAAAACAAAATTAACCCGTAGGGTTTTTTGTAAAACCATGTATGTACCAAAAATTTAGATTAGTTTTAAAAAACATCTGATTGCAAATTTAGAAATGAGGGCCCTTTTTTAATTGGGAAGATTCATTGCGTAAATTTGCTAACCTCACGTTTTTATAGATTAAACTTCTGATGTTACCTCTGTCAGTTCTGCTTGGAAAATTTTAAATTGTTCAAAAATCTATATTCAAGGGCACTTATTGCCGAGAGAATTCTTGGTTTTCATACTGTCATCAGAGACAAGGGCCAGGATTTTCTTCAACATCACCAGACAGCAGTAAGTAACCATAAGGCATAACCCTGCGTGATACAGTTTTGATAAATTGAGGAATGAAGATTTGAAATTTGTTGAGTTACATATCATATATGATGTACTGTTCAGTACAACAGATTTCTCCAACAACAACACTTGCTTAAAAACAATAGTCTGTATAAATCAAGTGACCGTCAGGGCGGGCCAATATTAGCCGCAAGGGCATGATTAACACTCGTTTTGCAGAGGTTCACAAGGTAATGCTTCATGCAAATATCTTAGCTTTTTGCAATGTAATTTCAACAATAAGTCTGAATTGGTTTTTTGTTTCTATAAATCTTTCGGAGCGGTCCAAATATTGACCAAAGGGGCATGATTAAAATTAATATCTGTTTTGTGAAAGTCCATTAAGTTATGCTACATGCCAATATTGAAATAAGGGCAAAGTTCTGTTTTGTAACGGTCAATAATAATGGAACATGCTAAATATCTAAGCTATTAGCATTGTAATTTCACATATTGGAACTTAACTACTAGTAAGTTATCCCCGGGGCGGGGCCAAATTTGATCTTAGGGAGCTTTGAACATCATTTAAGCTAATAGTTCTCCAAAAAAGTTTTAATTTCTTTCTATTGGCTCAAACGATACAGGACAGACACGAAATTCGGAAAATTATACAAAATAATCAAAATGTAATCTAGATCTTGACCTGAGGATGGTCAAACCTACGCTCTGCACATCGTCTCATTCTGAGCAGTAGTTTCTTTCCACCGGTTCCAAAGATACAGACAAGAACACTGCTAACAGACATGCAGAACAGAAGAACGAACCATCAGATGCACAGCAATATACTCCAAAAAATTTCCGTGCGTATAAAAATGATAACTAGAAAAATAGTTTTAAAAAACTTTACAAGCTTATGATTTATTTTGAAGGAATTATTTTGGTCTGTAATACACTCTTCAACAGTTACTCTATGTAGTACCATATTCGTCCATATTCGTGAAATATTCGCGCAGAAATTTGTAACAATTATTTTTCCTTATCAACACAGTCACTTAATGTGGTACAGTAATTGTTGTTTATTTGCTAACTTCGCCCCCTAAAAAATAGTTATTTGAGTGAACTCTGAAAAGTATCAAAATATTCAAAATTTGGAAATCGCTTTACACTAGTTCATACTTTTGTAGCAATTTAATACAGCATTTTTCTACGTTACAAAATTGTGAATTAGTTTGTTCAGTTATATGAAAATTAATGGCCAGATGATGAGCACTAATATTGATAAGCCACTATCAAACCCGTTATTAGCCTAATTCTGAGCAACATAACTGACACAGATATACATGTATATATGAAACTTTTCACTGTCTTACACTAGATTTATCTAAATAAGAAAGTAACAAAAACATGTCACATAGATAGCACAAATTACAAGTTATATTTTCAGTATAGAATGTACCTTCGACCTCCTACACACCCGTGTACTGTATTCCTAGAAATGTTCGCGGATACAATATTTCGCGTTTTTCACAACGTCGGCATTTTCGCGAAGACAAACTTTCGCGGATATGTAGTAACCGCGAATTCCGCAAATGTTAAGTCGCTACGGCCTAAATTACAGTTTTTGGAGGAAACGTTTTTTTTATGTATGACCTTGCCTGTTGGGTGCTTTTAATTATTTTTTTTTTTTTGACAAGTCGCGCTTAAAGCGCAACGTTACTCGATACATTTTCATCTATAAGGACGGTTGTTTTGTGAACACATTCATATTTCCTTACCCTTTTCATTATGTTATTAAGTAGATTTAGTCAGACCCGTTAGCTTTTATTCTCATTTGAATCATAACTGACTTTATCTTCAAAATGTCTATACGTATTTTTTTACACATTAACGGACTGTACATCGCTTTCATTATAACAACATAACAGCTGTTTGTCAATGTAGCGTTTGATTGCTATTGTACTTTTAACAAAAGATTACACCTGCTCCAAGCAAATAAAATCCAAGTCATTCAATGTTTGCGAACTGTAAATGCGTTTGTCAACGCCGTGACTAGCAAATAACGTCAATAAGCATGTTAATTACTAATAATTTATTTTTTTCTTTACAGCGTGCAAACTAGTATCACTAATATACATAAATAATTCTTTACACATTTCTATAACACCTGTGTTTATATCTTGTTTTGTGTAAGTATATTATAATAAATATTCTGCACTTTTTTGTTATATTGTAATTGTACGAGGGTTGATCATAAGTTCAATGACAACAAGGCTTGCAAAACAATTATAGAAGTTATCATAAAAATAACCAATGATATATGTAAATGCATATTTTATACATGTAGTTGCAAAATGTCAGAACAAATTTATGACCTGTGTAAATATACCTTTATCAACAACAATGTCTCAGCAATCACGAAAGGTCTTGTGTAATTTAATAAAGTTTTCATCAATTTAAACATACGCGTCAGGCTGGGTTGCATTGTGTTTATATCGGTGGTCGATTAGTCATTCTTCAAACCCCCATCCAAAATAGTCTGGCGCCTTTATGAATGAGTTTCACACTTAATATAACGTCATTTTGCTGTCTACGAGTTAGTGCCGATTTGTCTTATAAAAATTATACAAATTTTATCAACCGATATTGATCAAACCTATCGCGTTAGCGAAAGTGAGGTGTTATTTTAGCATGATATGAAAAAGAAAACATAAAAAGAACGGAAAATATCAATGAAAAAACAGTATTTTTGTTGACTTTGTAAACTATTTTTATCGAGGGAGAAAAAATAACAGCCGCATATACATGTAGTCCCTAACCGGTGTTTAGTGGGAGTTTAACACCGGTAAATCCCGAGTAGTGTAAGAATGAAGTGTAAAGTCGACTACATCTTATGTTGTCATTGGTATATTCCCGGCCGTCTCGACATCTTTTGTTCCATTTGTAAACCAAAGATCGACACGCATTCTTCCGTCCTAAATCCTTTTCTATATTTAAGTTACTTTCGGCATGATTCCATGATTTAAACAACAAATGATGACATCTCTCTGCTCAAAATTTAAGTCTGAAAATGTAGTGTAGTTGTACAAGAAATACAATGGAAAACAAATATTTATCTTGAGATTTAATTTAATTTGTCTATGATCAGCCGTGTGTTAAAAAGGTTGACATTTCGACAAAAATCATATTTCGTTTCTGGGCAATATGTTATACTCGCAGAGGTATCAGACGTTACTGGCCATTTTTTAAATGCAAATGATTACTGGCCATTTTTTAAATGCAAACATGTTCAATGCAAATGGGATCATTAGTTTTCAAGGGCATTTTTTAAATGTGAATCATTGTGTCCTTAGCAATTAATAAAACTGATTTGCTGAAAAGTAAGATGATATATATGATATTTTCTTTTTTTCAGATTAAAAAAGATATATGTAAAGAGTATGGCAAGGATGTCAAAAATTCAAATATTGTTGTTGGTTGTGGTAAGTGTATCTTTAAAGCAACATGCTTCCAGATTCATGCTTATTTTCATAAACATTCTTAATAATGCATTTGAATTCAAAGAAAATGATTGTGATATGAACAAAGGCAGTAATTTTTCCTTGCAATCGGCACTTACAATCCACCTAAATTACAAAACAATTTACAATATCCAAACATAGACATTACTGCGTAAGTTTAGTCACGCAATAGAAGTATGAAGATAAATACTGCAAAATCAGTCTTTAATTGCACATAATTAATAATATCTCGAATCATTTTACATTTCTTAAAACCTAAATACATTTTTCTCATTTCTTTCTTGAAATATTTTGTTTCATCTGAAGGCATGTATCTTTAAACAATATTTCGACAGAATATCATGGTCAGTTTTTTAGTTTTAACAATAAACATAATTTATGAAAATCATTTTAAGTGTAGTGTAAATATAGCAGTATAGCAGTAACAAATATATTTGGAAAATAATTGACATTGTATTGGGCAAAGTTTGAAATATGAATCACAAAAATAACGCAATGCTCTGTTTAGACACTCAAGTCATTAACATTTTCCAAAAGATGAGGATGTTGTGCAACGTTAAACTCAATCTAACTACAGTTTAGATCTACTGATTTCTTTTCTGTAGCGAAGCGTTATTAAGAGCTAATTTTAATCAGATTGCGTCAAACTTTACCTGATAAATTTCAACCAGCAAATGGCAACGTTTGAACACATCAGTTGATTTTTCCCAATTTAAAATATCACCGTATTGAAAGTCGTGTTGTAGGACGTAAACTATTGCTTGTTCTTACCGGTAACGTCATTAAAAATAGGCGCAATCAATCTGAGCTTGACACATCTTTAGTTTTACTTCTAAGCGTTCCTAAAAATTTTCCTTTTTTCTATTTTATTCATTAAATTATTCATCAAATTTTTAATAATTTTGCAATGAAAAACAACAAAACAACAAAAACTGTCATTTTTATTTTAAATTGCTGTCTTGATCATAGTCTTAATGTACCGCACAATTAACAGTGTCATGTCCCAAAAGGACTTCAAATCTCACAAAGTCAAATAGAAAGCAAACACGTGTTAGCCATTTCCTACTATTGGTGCGTTATTGAACCTAAGAATTTGCTATTTTTTTCATATGAGAAAGTTAGACAATTAATGGGAGATCCAAGGTTCTACTTAAATAATGCATGGCGGGGTACATGATATCTTCTTTATTCATCAAGGCTAGAAAAGTACCATATTATGCTTTTGGTGTTAACTAAATAAAAATTGCATCATTTACACGTATGCCTTTACATGTATGACTATAAATATTATAGCAAGCCTTGAGGGAGCTCTCGAAACAGAAAACAGTATTTTTATACATGTTTAATAAAAGATGAATCTGTTTATCTTTCTGACTAATATTCAACGAAATGTGCCGTCGTTTCAACAACAGAAAATCATCATAGCAGGTAGCGAATCGTGGCAAAAATGTAGTAATTGTGGTTGATAATTTCATTCAATGTTAACTATTTTCAGTTTGGAAACAAATTTACAAATCAGATTTTTTTAGTTATATACACATCTAAATATGTACTAAAAACACTTTTACACAAAAGAGTATCTTTGTTACTAAAAGTATACGTTTTGTGGTTTTTATGTCTGTCCGTTTTCCCATTTTACTTATCATCATCTTTCATATAATTGACATTTAGATTGCTATTGTTATATCTGTGTGTAAACAACACAACATTTATTGTTTGAAAATACATGTTTGATAAAACACGCATTAGATGGTCTTAACACTTTTTTGACCAGTGCTTTTAAAAAATCATAAAACTATGTTGTTAATAAGTACGCCTAATGTTAGCATTTTTTACACAGATCACATCAACATCATCAACGACATTGCCTTCTATGACATCAATGAGTTCATCTACTACGAAATCAACAATGTCATCTTCTAAGGCATCAATGATTCCACATTTAACTCCGTCAAAGATTTCACATTCTAATTCAGTAACGACTTCATCTTCTGAGGAAATGACAGTTCCAGGTATGTTGTCATACGTTCGAATATGATTTTCGTAGAAACATAGATATAAAAATTGAAAACAAAGTTTTACCTTTGAAAATAATAGATTTCTGACAAAAAGAGTGGTCACTCTTCGTCAAAAAAAAAGAAAAAGAAAAGAAATATGTACAACAAAATCGCTTAAACTGAATTCACTAAAATTAGATTACCGCCAAAATCGCGAAATTTGCCGTACGAGGAAATAACCTGATATACGGTATAAGGACGATTGGTTATTTCGTGAAGCTATCTTCAGGAAGGTCTGTGGTTCTAAAGATAATGCCAGACAGCATCTATATTTACTCCCTACCAGATGAATAGAAAATGGCCAACCTCACCATAATAGTGATTGCTTTTTCTAAAATCAAAGGAATGAGACAGAAGATTGTAAAGTAAATATTTTGTACAACCGTATAACAAATAGAACTTGCAATCAAAGATTCTCATTATTATGGTTTTTTCGGTCAGATTTTTAAAAATATTTTTAACAAATAGCATAACGCTTCCTTATACCCTTATACGTATTACAATTGTGCAAATTGTGTTGATCTCACTTTTTCCCTAAACTGAATTACATAAGAACGCTGACGACCGTTGACATGGCAAAACATGAAAGCTACCAATATTCACAGTCATCAAAGTTTTATTTAAAGATGCCCGTTAAGAGAAAAGATATTCAAGATACAAACTATACGATCGCATCCATTATGACTACCACATTTACTTCGTATGCAATTTCATTTTGTTATTAAACTGATTCAGTTTTTTTTTCACAATAAAAATCATGTATGCATATACATACAATATAATGAGATACACATTTAAGGAGGAACAAGTGCTTTCTTTTAAGATTCTACAAAGTTTATAAAGATGATAATTCAATAGTACCTTACCAAAGTTGTCAAAATTATTAATGCAAGACCTATTTTTAATATAGCATTAGGAAAAGGATTCCTTCTCAGAACTTTGATTTTTACAATATTATAGAACTTCTTAAACATAAAGGAGAAATTCCAATATTACATTGATACTTTTATTGACAAAATCGTCATCAATTCGAGGGAAACAACTCGTACTACTCTAGAATCGATATTCAATTAAGAGTTGCACCTCTTGTCAAAATACTTTCTGCATAAATATCATAAAGAATAAATATATAAAATATAAAAGACCAAATGCAATTCAATGTGTTCAAGAGAAAAAGAGACAGAAAAGGAAATGGGTGCAGTAAAGAGTGAATCAAGCCTAAATAATTGATCCTGGTAAACGATAGAGCTACCTCTTTCGGAGGTATATGGTAAACTGCTCTACCTAGTGCATGTTTCTCAAATCAAGTGACAATTGTTTTCATTATTTATATATTTTGTTAACTTTACACTAAATATCGAAATTCGGAGAATGCTATACCATGAAGATTTGATTGAAGTTAAGAGAAAACGTATATTTGATATAATTGTGTTCTATACTATATACATGTATGTGCTTTGTAACAAATGAGGAAGCTGGTGCCATATTTTTGATACTTAAATATATGTAAAGCTACATTTTATATAGATGGTTAGTCCTGATGTTGTTTATCATGCATAATTTCTCTTTACGATTTTTTATATTATAATTAATATGCATGTACGTCTCCTTATTTATAGAAATAGCCCCCTACATTTCAAATATAATTTTAACACTTTAAAGTTTTCCGGAAAGTTTAATCAAATTTACATGGCAAAGCATTCTCCAAATTTCGATATTTGGTTTAGAATTTACAAAATAGATAAAAAACATAAAAACAAGTAACATTTGATTTTAGCGACATGCATTAGCCAGAGTGATTTTCCGTATACTTTTTTAAGAGGTAGCTCTTTCGTTAACCAGGCGAGGGCATTAGTCTCAGTTATGCAGCTAAGAAATATATATATTTGACCAATAAATTGTCAAACTATAAACCCCTATTTTGTTGAGGTTTTATAAACACTATATTATTGTGTTCTCAAAATAATAGCGACATAATATTTAAAAAGATGAAAGTTTGGAACCAAGTTCTTTAAATTGCAACGATAAAGAGTATACTTTCCCAACAAAATTAAATTCAATGTCGCATTATTAAAGTGTTCATTGCCTAGAATAATATATGTTAAGGTCCACTGTGTGTTGACATCTGTACATGTTGAATTTATCCATGATTTAATATCTTCCCAAAAAGAAGAACTTAATTGGCAATCCCAAAATAACTTTTTCAATACCGTTGTTGCAAAAAGAACAAGTATTAACATCTTTTATTCTCATGTTATGTAAAAGATAATTTGTTGCCAGTATCCTGTGATTAACTTTTTACTGAAACCATTGTAAATTTGAATCCTTTGTTATATTAAGGGGCGGGGGCTATAAATGCCATTCCAATTAAAATCATCATTTAAATTGAGTTAAATTTCCCAGTGTCCTTTAGCAATGGAGGATAATTTGCTCTAAGTAAATAATCATAGATTTGTCTACATCCCTTCTTTGATTATTGTTTTGATCATGAAAGGCTTAATAGGCATTTCCTTATTCTGGGGTAGAAGTCCAAAATACATTTGATTTAAAAAAAATCTTCTTATAAACTCTATAATGTTTTGATACTCTTAAATTTGGTATTTATATCAAACTTACTTAACAATTCATTAAATGATAGCAAATTACTATTATTATATTGTCTAAGAAGTCATTAACCAATATTATACCGCACTTCACATATCTTGAAAATCAAACAGTAGAACCTACCTATTCATGCCAAACAGAAAGTGGACGAAATTCACTCCAATTCCTTGGGAACTGCTTATGCAACTGTATGAGCCAAGTAAAACGTTCTTCCAAAATTTATTTTGCACTGTCTGAAAGTTATCTTTCATAACTAAGTCTCCATATTTACTTATATTTGTTAGGAGAGGGTATATGTTATTTTCAAAATTAAAGTATTTAGTATTTTACATTAAAATCCTTCTTATTCCTGTCAATTTTAGAGACATTATGTAAGTTAATCACTCTGAATCCCCGCTTTCATAATTCTGAATAACAACATTTGTTTTTATTTTATCTGGTCCTGACTTCCATAGGAAATTAACGAAGGAGTTTTGTATAACTTTGATTGTTTCTATATCAGGATTTTGCAAACTAAGAATGTGGTGAATTACTTTAGGTAATGCTAATGACTTAATTACAACATTCTTACAAATAGGGGTAATAGTACGTCTTGATCTATGAGTATTCAACTTAGTAATTTCCTCCTGTTTAGATAAATAATTAGCGTGAATTATGGTATTAAAATTAATAGTAAAAGAATCATCAAGCTGAAAACATTAAAATTCCCACTGAAGATTAACATCCGGGCAAATTATTTGAGTATTCCCTTCTTAGAACCAATCCATACTGTTTTCTTTATCTATGTTAATGCTTAGACTCGAAATTTAAGCATGAATTTATTTTAATCGTTGCATAGTGTGTCTTAGAGACTTAACAGTTCCAACAAGCATTAGAGTTGAATCATCAGCATATTGAGATAATAAAAATCCAGAGTTACATGTATTTAATCTCATACCTTTTATATATGTATTATTTTTCATAATTGATGCACATACTATAAAAATGTAATGGGATAGGGGATCACCCTGTCGACAACCATTTTGTACTTGAAACCAGTCTGACAAATGTCCATTTATTGTAACACAAGAATGAACAACTTTACCCAAATTTTGATGTTTTTTTCGCCAAAATTGAAAAGCTCTAAAATTTAATGCATATATGTTCATGATATATAATCAAAAGCTGTTGCAAAATCAATAAGTAACAACATTTCAGGAATTTGATGATCATCTGTATATGTAGTTTCCGCCTAATTTCCATTTTCAGTGTTTAAAAAATAGTCACCATCTATCGATTGTAACTTATATTTTCTAATTGTACCTCCGTTTCTCGAACCTCAGAAGCATATTATAATTTGACTTGGGATATAAGAGATTTAATTTTATTTTCATACTGTGTATCTTTTAAAAGGGAATTTTTAATTTTCCAGTATGAAATACCTTTTATAAACTTGCCAAAATTGAATACTTAATAAAATCATGGAATGATATGTTTTGTAACTTGGCACAATATCAACACTGCTCATATCTGTATTAAGATTGTTAGAAATAAAGAAAACAATCAAGCCTACATTTTTTCTATTATTGTTCCCTCCAGCAATCATTCAAATTACATTCAATAATCATATCTTAAACAACTTCCCGGGCTTGTAGAGCTATTTATGTTTTAATAATTTAAGCAGTCCATATTTTGATCAAACACCATATTAAAGTCTCCTATCATTATACATGGGTTCTCTAATCTTTGATACTGTTGTAAAATTTGGGTCATTTCTATTTGGTCCATATAAACAAATTAAAGTTATATCAATTTGAAATGCAAGTATGTATAAAAAGTAAATTACCATTTTGAGCTGATTCAAGACTTTTAAATTAAATGTCAAAATTATTATTAATAAATATTGCTACACCTCTAGATTGACTATTATAACAACTGAAATAGCATTTATATCCCCACTGCGAACGGTTATAATTAAATTCTTCATAAGTCAAATGTGTATCTTGTAAAAAACATTGTATTTCTTCCCTTTTATGTAATCAAATACGTCTTTACCTGTTTTTGCTTTTCCCTAACCCCGAGGCAAATTTTACATTTTCAGTCATTATGTCAAAAAATAGCTTATACTGTAATTTTGTTTGATTATGGAAAAATATCAGTTTTGTAAAAAATAATGTAGAGGAGTGCTAAGTATAGAAAAATACTAGAAACTCGATCTTCTCTGCACTGCCCCAACCTATCTTATTCTTAAAACATCTTTCCATGATATAAATAACAATAAGGCAAAAAGAAAGAAGAAGGTTGTTTGTGTTTTGTTTTATTTTTTTACTACTCTTGTACTATAATATTGTTTAATTTAATGTG